TGTTGCTTGTTCTACGAATGTTAATATTTTATACTGCGAAATTCGATATTTTAGCGTAATTTAAAGAATATGTTGCTTGTTCTACGAATGTTAATATTTTATACTGCGAAATTCGATATTTTAGCGTAATTTAAAGAATATGTTGCTTGTTCTACGAATGTTAATATTTTATACTGCGAAATTCGATATTTTAGCGTAATTTAAAGAATATGTTGCTTGTTCTACGAATGTTAATATTTTATACTGTGAAATTCGATGATTTCTTTAAAGAAAATTCAAGTTAATTTTATTGTAGTAGAAATTTTTAATCGTATGTTATATATTCAAATTCATTTTGAAGTTTAGATCTAGCCACTCGTTTTTGTTGCGAAAAAATTTTTAACCGCATGTTATATATTTACATTGCAATTTTTAACCGCATGTTATATATTTACATTGCAGTTCGTAGCTACTTCTTAAGAAGCATGTAAATAAATTTTAACGATTCATTGTTATTCAAATTAATCGAAAATTTTGTTGTTACCGTTTAAAAAAAATTTTCGAATGTTTGGTACTAACGATAAGTATAGATAAGAATCATTTATAATAACTACGCGTAAGAAACTGAGGAATTACACGGTGACATGAATGCCTGCACAAGACAGTATCGAGCTCCAAAGATCGATATAATCTTTCCTATTACTGATCTTCTTTCTTCAGATATACCGTACGTATTTTTACCCACCCAGTCATATTTTGAATCAATACGCAATTTTTTCTTTTTACTGTTACATCGATATACTCTCTGTAAAATTTAGAAACATATAAAACTCAATTCAACGTCGTTGCCGTAAGATTGCAACATTCTCCCGATAAACAGCGAGAGAACTTTGCGAAGAATCCTTCGCTCCGTTGTTTCGTATCGAGTCACGAACGTAAAAACGAAACCTTCCAATCCTCGCGATAACGATCCACCGAAGAAGGAAGCTTGGAGAAATTTCTTCAAAGGGATTTCCAAACGGCGAGACGTGTCTCTACGTATATTTTTCTCCCTTGATCGGATTGTTGTCGGCACGTGAAACATTGGAATGTCGCTGATTACTGTTCAAAAAAAATTCAACAACGTACGAATAATTTTTAACACTGCTGTTGGATTAAAAACGTTGAAAACGAAAATTCAATGATACTCCGAGTAAAAATCCCGAAAACAGAAGAACAAAAAGCAATGAACGAATTGCAATCAAAAATTCTTCAGCTTCTCGATCAAGACACTGAAATATACCAAATATACCAGTTGTTACGTTTGCTCGCGGTTCAAATTGATCATTTCCCACGTTCTGTCTTGCTTTTTCCAGGTGTGTCCGTTCGATTTGAGAACCGCAGGCGGTAAATCGCCGGTAAGGTCACGCTTTTACGTGTAAGCCCTAAGCGAAATCTAGTTTTTGTTTATTCATTAGGTTACCCCGCGCTTTAAGTGGTACGTGGAGAAGGCTTGCCCCGACGTTACACTGTGTTCAGGGTGGGAGGCGGTGGGAGGGGTGGACCCGCCGTATCTCCGATATGCCACCAGCCATAAAAATCTGAATATATTAGGCCTACATGCACACGACATCTCGCTCGGATCGTGAACACGTTACCCACGATAATCTATGCTCGTTTCTAGCACACTTTAACACGTTTCTGCGTACACACTGGCGGTGGCTACTGTTCGCCGCGCTACCTGCTGCTAGTAGCTTCTTCCTTCGTTACACCCTTTTTTGGAAAGCCCCTTTCCCTGTACTGCGTTAGAAAAATGAAAAGAGAAAGGATTTTTTTTTCTTTTTGTAAATTAAACGAATAAATTTCGTCAGACGATCTACAAGATATTAGATCGAATTACTTAATTTGTAAATGTGTAAGCTTTGTAAGATATCTATCTATTGTGTAAAATATGGAATGCAAATTAAAGTCAAATACTCTAGAATTAAATTAATACTCAGGTGTGATTTAAAGTTTTCTGACTTTTTTTTTTGCGATTCAATAATACCGATCGTGAGTTAATTATATGGATAATAATTATCCACTTGTACCGAATTTTAATGCTCCCTGTGTGAATGATTACAAATATTCTACACACCTGAATTTGCAACGATTCTTCCTTAAAAATCATTATCACGGACAATTACATAATTGTCAAAAAAATACATCTATATGTATCAAATAATATCATAAATATTATTATATTATATATATTACAAATATTAAATAATATCGTATATTAAATATATTAGATGTAAAAGGAATATTTTCGAGGACAGATCGCTCTCTCAAGGTTAGCTAGAGATTGTCGCTTATCGTCGAGCACAAGCACGGATTTAGCGGAATCTCGGGCTTTCTTTTCGTTTCTTTTTCTTTTTCTCCCTCGAAATATATCGAAGGCGAGCGCCAAGAAGCCTGGTGAGCTTTCGAGAGCGCGGCGAAGCAACGAGCAAAAAGGGCGGACAGGGGACTGGAGGGGGGTAATTAGAATAATTCGGGCCGCTGTGGTTCACGCCACACGGACGAATTTGCATTTTAAATGAAGCAATGGCGTGTCAGAGGCCCCCGGTTGCGCCGGCCAAGCAGAGCGGCAGAACTTTGTGTTTTATAAGGAACTTTAATATTTATCGCGTATATCCAAACCGAATAAACCTGTATGTGTAGGTGTAATACGTGCACACATAGGGACATGGTTTCACGTATACAAAGGCACGTGTATATATATATTATAATTATTGGAAAGGAATTTAATAAATTTTATTTCGTTCAGTTTGTTTCACATTCACTTGACAATCATTTGAAATTATGTTCAAATATCACTATTAATTTAGAACCAACCATTTCTTATCGAATAAAATTTTACACACTAAAGTGTTTTTACTGCAAGACAGAATTTTCGTAACTTTTATTATACACTTTCAGATTTATTTCAAATTTCATCGGTGTAAATTTCAAAAATCGTGTGATGTAATGTTTCTAACAAATTTTTATAATACTCTTTTAAATATTTTCGCGAGCTATTTTATGTAACGTATTTTTGTATATATATATATATATATAAATTATATTATTTATATTTATAATTAAATATTTTCTCGAGCTATTTTATGTCACGTATATATATAATATATATAAATTATATTATTTATATTTATAATTAAATATTTTCACGAGCTATTTTATGTCACGTATTTGTGTGTGTGTGTGTGTGTTCATATATTTATATTTATATATATTATATATTTATATTTATATATTTTTGTGTATATATATATAAATATATATAAATATATGAATATATAATATATATAAATATAAATATAAATATATGAATATATAATATACATAAATATAAATATAAATATATGAATATATAATTTATATAAATATAAATATATAAATATATAATGTATATGCACACACGCATAAGAAATATATTGAACATATACATATGTACAAAAATATGTTCAAAAAAATGTTTGAACGTAGTCAGGGGCAACTCGATGCTCATTCTTCCTTTCCTCCTCTGCCAATCGAAAGAACCGGCACACTGGAGTTATTCCTCTCCACGATGCCGAGGCCCCTAACGATGGATCGTTATCGCGTAATTAGCGCCGCTGATTTTCGTGTTATGTCACTGACACGCATACGACCGTACGATGATACCCTTCATTTCGGTTTATCGAGTCTGGCCAGTGGAAAGAGGAGACTCGTTCCCTGAATCGGTGGAACCAGAGGGGCCTGCTCTGGCCGTGCACGTTACTTTTCCTTTTTATCTTGCTATCGTTCGCGACATCCCGATACGACAATCGTATCTTCGCGTTAATTGAAATCGAAATTCAACCGAGATCGCCAAGATCTTTGGATTTTTGGAACGTTTGAAGTTTCCTCTCATTTCGAAATCCTGCCCTCGGCCGCGCGTACATTCCTTTTCCTCTCGCTATCATTCGCGACAGCAGCTCAACGACAATCGTACCTTCGCGAATTTAATTGAAATTGAAATTCAATCAGGATCTTTGGATTTTGGAACGTTCGAATTTTCCTTCTTTTTCTATTTGAAGATTTTTTTTTGAGGGGGGGGGGGGATTTGATATTTCGTCTTTTTCTTCCCCATCAACTGAAGATTTTAACGATAAAGGAGCAAAGTTTGCAAAATGGAAATCGTTTTTAATGAAAAGTGATTTACACTGATTCCTCGTGTATACGGTTCGTATAATGATGTTCAGAGATGAATTTTTATATAAAAATTCGATATTTAGAGAATATAAATACTTTCCAATTTTACAATTTAAACAGACGAAGGAGGATCATCAAGCAAGGATAGTTTTAATTTCTGCAACTACGTTGAGTTATTTCTACGTATGTATTTAAAAATTTATAAACTACGATTACGAGTTTAAATGAATTTCTGCTTTAATCATTGAACGAACGTTATTGCGATCGTCTTGATGCAAAAGTGAATCAGCATGTTTGATGAATGATTAATAGTTGCAAAAGTGGATTCTACGATACCACATAGGAAAACACTTGCTCTGTAAATTATTGGGGTTATCTAAATGAATGGATCTGCTCGAATAATTTCATACTCATTAAAATATTCAACAAACTAATAAATTATGCAAATCGACTAGTTACGTGAACGTAGCTTTTGTTAAACAAACAACCTGACATTTGTTTGACATTCTACAATCCTATCCAAAAGCAATTTTCAAAATTAATGTCACAAATATCCATTGACGAAAGGAGTCAGGTTTTAGAGAGAGGAATTTACTGACTCAACATTTAACGAAACTCCTCTTTGATCCTGCCAACATAATATTTTTTAATTCCATAGGTTTCACATTACACGCAATGATTCTAAACCTTTGGTCAACAGCGTACACGCGAGTACAAGCTTATAAGTATAAGTTCAAGTTACAATTCATATTTCACCATTTCACCATAAAGTATATGTTTACGTTAAACATTCGTTTAAGAGCACAACAAAAATAAGGTTTGCGTACCTGTTGATTTTCCCCTCAGTAAGAAACAGCTCTTCTCATCCGGAGGAACCACAGTTGCCTCCAACAGTTCACTCTTCCTCTATTCGCGCGTTGCGGAAGTCCTTTCAATCTTTCAGCTCCGTTTCGATCCACAGCGACACCATGGTCCTCGGCATAATTTAGACACCGATCTTCCGTGACACTTGTATCAGACCGCAGGAAGCGATCGTCGCGAGCGTCGCGAGTGTGTTTCGGATGCGTCAAGGAGAAACCAGACTCTATAATGATACACCTACGACGTGTGACAGCCACGGATGAGTCCTGTGTGTTTGCACGCGTCGTCCCTCGCCCGACACGGTCGATTGTCTCGTTAATGACTCGCGGTCAACGCAACTCGCCCGTAGGACGAACGTTAAATGTCATCTTCGAACGGAGACACCATCGAGTCGCTTCGTTCCGATCCCCGAGGTTAACGCGTCAACATCGTTTCTATCCGAGCCCGTCGACACGAAATTCTTGGAAATTTTCTTCCAAGAAAGTGGCTCAACTCTCTATTAATTCTAATTTCGAGTTTCGTTAGGATCCAAACACAGAGGCAGTTTGTTCGTGCTTGACAGCGCATCTAGAGTCAAAGTGTCAACGTGCCACTATACGAAAGATCTTCTCGGCAATGCCAGTCCTTCGACACACTTTCTCCCATTCACGTCGATCTTCCTTCAATTGTCATTCCTCAATTTCCTCTTGCATTCAACGACGCAGCGATTGTCAACGAGTATCACGAAACGACGCACTCCGTCCGAAATTATGGTTATTACCGGGAAATGTTCGAGTTTCGACCATCGATAGGGAGAGAGGCTGGTCTCGACGGCGCGATCGATCGGTTTCGACGAGTGAAAGCTCAGTCGGCACGGTCCGCCGGTCGCCAGTAGTGGTGTGTGTTACCGCTTCTCCGGGTGTCTTCCTGGACCTCCTCCAGGCGCTCGGGCACCTCGTGCGCGCGTGCAGCTACTCCTGGTAGCCGTCGGAGTGGCAGGTCCGCGCGACGAGGGCAAACGTGCGCTGGACGACTGCGGTTGGCCGGCGAGCGTGCGGCGAGAAGGACGGCCGGAAGGAGGGAGCAGGAGGTGCACAGCGGTGAGAGCGTAGGAAAGAAGCGAGACGAAGGCGGGACGAAGAAGGAAGCGCACGGTGGGAAGCAGGGAGGGGATATGGGAAAGAGGGGAACAGGAGGGCTCACTTTTGGGACGAGCGGAGAACTTTGGGTCGAAGCGAGATAGAAACCAGGGACCAAGAAACCAGGGACCAGGAGGAGGCAAAAGGGCTCAGGAGAGGATTGGCGAAGGATCGACGAGGACAGAGGAGAGGAATGAAAGACGAATGCTGTGGACGAAAATGATGTGGACCACGCGGAGGACACGACGTGTCTGAAGTGGGCTCGGCCCAGGGAACCGGGGGTTACGGGCTTTGCTTTCGATTTGGTCCCCCGTATCCAGTGCCACGAGCTGTGCCACGAGCTTCGGTCGTGGTGCCTGTTCATGCAGAAACGCCTGCGTGTGAGTGAGAATCCTGGCGGAGCAAGGGAGCTGGACGTAGACTTTCGACGATGACAGAGAGAGAAAGAGTGAGAGAGAGAGAGAGAGAGAGGAGAGGAGAGAAGGTGACGGTAGCGTGTCGTCGCGTGCTGAACCGCGTTGGTTCGGGGCTGCCCCTGTGGCCTGTGGCCCACCTTGCCAACGGCCGTGGCCCCGGCGAACGGAAAGTCCCCTTTGCGTCTCTCTTCCGGGCCGTCTTCTTTCTTTCTTTCTTTCTTTCTTTCTTTCTTTCTTTCTTTCTTTTTTTCTTGCTTGCTTCTACGCTGTGTGGTTCCTTTCCCTTCCTCGTCGACAACACCCACTCTCTCGCGAGCGTTTCGCGAGCGTTACCGTTTTGCACGTGAGAGCCATTCAGTCGATAGCTCGACGCAAGAGGGAAGATGGAACGAAGACGGTTGATACGGAGGGTGGGCGGTCTGACTGACTCTCCTCCGCAGTTCGCCTTTCCTCCTCCACTAGTAGGTAGAGACTGCCACGATCCTCCACTCCTACTGCACCGTCCCCGGTGTTGCTTGTACCGCGGTGTGATTGAGCTGAACTAACGTTTGAGTAGCTGCATGGTGGTCGAGCAGGCGGTGGAGGAGCGGCGTGTCGGGTCAGGGTTGAATTCACACGAGGGGCGAATGGATACTGGCCGCTTCTGGTCTCATCCTCGCTCTGCCACTCTTTTTCGAATCAATCGTATTCTCCCTTTATCTTGACATCGATTGTCAAAGTGGAGATTCTGTAACAGTGAGAAATTCAATGTATATATGAAAATATGAAGCAAACTAGATGAATAATAAGTTGTACAAAGCTACATAAAGTGAATGAAAATATGAACTTATGATTTGAAGAAAATTATACGAATAGCCTGAGTTATACTTGCATAAAGTTGTAACTGAATATAAACTTCAATTTCAAAAAGCTACGAGGATTGGAGTATCAAAGTTTGGTAACTGAACCAGAGCGAGATATTTCCTGGGAGTTGAAGATATCGGGCGCAATTTAGTGATCGATTAATTCTTTCTTACTTCGTACAAGGATAATTACTTTCGTACACTCGTCGGCGAGCTGTTAATCCACCCTCGACGTCGTTGTTCCTTAGTTCTCAACGGTACTTTACGTACATCCACCGGCACGTTTCCGTGCGTGACAGTCACTTCTCGAGCGTACGATGTATCGCGGCATGTCGAAAGTTTTTTTCCAACGCCTGGAAATTTTTCTTCACGCTCACGCGACTCCGGCTGCGACCTTCCACCTTTGAACATTTCTGGAAATAATTCCAACAGATAAAAGCAACAAAGAACTTTTATACCTTGATTTTCATCGGTCGCAGTAATCTGTTAGACATTATACGATACATGTTCTTACCCTTCTTATTCCTTCTTCCGTGATGTTAGTGGGATGTAACAGTAACTAATTTGCAGAGGAACCAAAATCGATCGTCGTTGCGCAACGCCGTCGAAATTCGATCGGCGTTCCAGAAAACAGTCTTCGCCGAGAATCTCCCGAGGAGACGAGACCCTCCCGTCTAGGGTTTATCCGAAAGTAGAAATTGGAAATCGTTGTGTAACAACGCTGGCTCCCTGTTTGAGGAAGACGTAATAATCGTTCCAGACGTGGCACGCGAGTACCTCGAGACACTTGTCGAAGAGCATCCACCGCCGCGTTCCAGGAAGATCGAGCAACAGCCCGATCGCGAGCCATCCCTCCCGAATCCTTGGGTTCCGACAGTCTCGCTTCTTTCGGTTTCTTGCGCAACGCCGGCGACGAATAGTACCCCTCTGCTCGACAATTATATAGAGAGGACCTGGAAACCTGGAGCATTCCTCCGAGCTGGACGAAACGTCGAATTAAACCGATGGGTTAAACGGTCCGCGCGTGTCCGCGAATCGCCGGTTCGTGAACGATCACGAAGGTCGTGGCGATCCGTCCGAAAAGAATGGAATCCATCAGTCACCCGGAGAGAAGACCGGCAGAATGATAATTTGCCGTGGCCGCACGCGTGAACATTAGACAGTTCGTTTTTTACCGGACCATTCGTCCGTCCTTTGTTCTGCTTTTTCTATCTCTCTCTCTCTCGTCGATGAAGAACGTGGCATTAGTTGGAGTAAAATGTCGGTTTTTGCGGTTTTCTGATTTATAATTAGTGGATTCTTGGTTATGGAAGTTCTCTGGAAAATATTGGAATTGGTTGGATGCACCGTAGATTATTTAGAAATTATATGTAGTTAATTTTAAAAGGTAAACTGATTAATTAAAGAAAGCCTTTCGTACGTTTTTAGGAAGTAAAAATTATAATAATAATAATATATTAATATATTATTGTTTAATTAATATTATATCAATATTTTATTATATGTATAAAATAATAAAAATATATATGTAGTATTATATATTATTGTTTAATTAATATTCTATAATTATTATTATATCAATATTATATACAATAATATATTATATATTATTATTATATTATGTATATAATATTGATATAATAACAATTAAATAATAATAATATATAATACAATATACAATATAATATATTATAAATTATTATTATTTAATTAATATACATAAAGTATAATAATAATTACAATAATAATAAAGCCAATTATAATAAATAACTTGCCTTTTCATGCAACAGTTCATTACAACTTACAAACCATTGGAATTCAGTTCCAGTTACGAACAACGCCCGATATCAACCGTATCTAACTCCTTATCGCTGAAATGATCTTCTTAAACATCCTCGATCCGAGGAAAAGAAATTGTCGCGAGAGAGATTCCACATCGGAACAACCGCATTCCCTGAACAATTTATATTAGTAATCTACGTTATCACGCAGGTAAAAATGTCACCGGTTACCTTTAACCACCTTGTTGCACCTGTTCCCGTTCGGGATAATTTAGAGAGGCCCGGGCACGCCTTCGTGAAAGCTCATCGGGTAGAGATCGATTCGTATCGCGTCTGGGGACCGCGATAACCGGGCAGATAGAACGTGGCCGACGAGACAGCGTAGGAACAAGCCTCGATTTTTATCTTTCTAAATCGTCCCTTCGAGGCAGTGTTCCGGAGGTCTCCGTGGAAGAACGGTAGCGGCCGACGCTAGCCGAAAAAACGAACGTCGTCCTCGAGGTTTCAGAAATTGACTTACTGACTTATAGCGCGGATAGAAAGAGGCAACGTGTCGTCTTCTTTATCCGAAACGCATCGAACGAGGTTTAATTACCTGGCCGTTGTAAATTTCTTCGCTGCAACTCGCGAGCAGTTGCCCTCGGGGTCCTGCGCCGCGCGCAGGCCGTTTGACGTCCGAGGAATTCAGGAGTTTGACGTCTTGCTCGGAAGCCTGCTACCGGTTTAATAAACAAATCGCTCGACATTCAAATTAACCCGCAGGCGCAGATTTTTGCGCGCTCCGTTCCGTGGTGTAATTGAAGTTACGTTCATTACACGGAGGCTGTGGCTAGGAATAGCTAACAGGGTTGGAAAAGTTGGAAAGACAAGTTTCGGTATTTCATAGCGTAGAACAGTTAGCACTGTTTTCTCAGCAATGTCAGACTAGGCGAACTCGAACTTTTTATTGTGACAACGCTGTTATCACAAGCTGTAAGCTAATCACCTTCAAACTAAACGGTTTGTAATTATATTTTGATACTACAGACAATTGGAAATACCGTTTAGTGTTAATAATTGTACTTTTTGGACTTTTATAGAACTGTATAATAATACAAAAGCCGGGGAATTAATGAAAATGTATAGTGATAATTATGACATGTTTCTACAAAATTGGACATAATTCTGACAAAAATAATTGTAATCATTTTGAACGTGTAATTAATAATAAAACAATTCTTCAAAGAGCATAATATATTACTATATATTGTACCGAATAAACATATAAAAAATCGTTCAGTATATCAAAATTTATTATATGCTCTTCATTCAGTATTAAATTTTTGACTTTTGGTCATTTTAAGTAGCCAACAGCTTGAATCAAATCAAATCAAATCAAATGCTTCCAAAACCAGTAAACTGTTCCAATACCAAAAAATTCCACATTTTCTTTAAATATCCAAGAAAAAAGAAAAAATAATAATGTGGTACATCGATCGTACTAAGAGTTGACAATTTTTACAAATTGGAGTTCACAAAATTCCTCGCTGCTTCATCCCCATGTTGGCGTTTGCTGCGCCAGATGCTAAGTATTCGAACCGTAAATTTCAGCATGTTGTTTCGGCGTGTAGCATTTGTAGAAACCGCAATGCGGTTCGAAAAACACCGGTTAACCGGCGATGATCCGTGAACGAGCGCAACCTGCGCTGGCAAACAGACAGAAATTGGGGTAGAAGAAAGAGAGAGGGTGAGAAGCGACTTCTCTGCGGTCGTCGGCACACGGGCTCGTCGAGAATCGAGAGTCCGACAATCACTCTATAGGGGGTCGTTACGGGCGCCTAGGGTGTTCTGCTTGCTCTCTTGTTTGTCATCGAGTCGTCGATCCATTAAACAACACCATACGTCAAGAATGATTAACGCCTCGTGGAAACTTGATTTGAATTACCGCGGAGGACGCGAGGAAGTTTGATAGAAAAAATTTTTACATCACGAAGGAATCGTTACAACTTTATAAAATGGGACTATATATATATAAATTATATTATTGTAACGAATAAATATGCATGCGAAAAGACATTCATTTTTTTCTTTTTCTACGACTGAACCATGTAAAAGTTATATTGATCGAAAATTTAATTTG